TATCACAAGATACATGATTTACGATCTTACTTGCAGACGGAACTGACAGACTTCTTTCAGGAAACAAATGCAGAGAATGCGTGTAAAATTTTAATTGATGCGTATACGTCCGGGATTGCTAGGTACAGTAGTACCTATACACCTTCCCGCAAAAGTACGCCAATTAAGCCATGGATCACTCCTGGCCTACTCGCTTCAATTAATAAGAAAAATGAGCTGTTTCGTATCAAGTGCAAACATCCTACTACTTATAACATAAGCAGTTATAAGAAATACAAGAACATGTTCACTAAAGTTTTACGGAATGCTAAAAAGATTTACTACCAAACTGCACTGCATGACTGTGGTCCTAAAGAAACCTGGCGAATACTTAATGAAATGACTAAAGGCAACGCGCCTGAAGGAAAAATATCTACCGCTTTTAAGATTGACAATGATATTGTCAAAGATCCAGAAAAGATTGCTAAATCTTTCAACTCGTACTTCTCACAGGTTGGAAAACAACTGGAGGAACTGATTCCCCCTAGTCATATCGACCCATTGGGAAGCTTTCCTAGTGAAATAGGAAATACAATATCATCTTTCACAGATACAAATGAAGTAGAACTTGAAGAAATCGTAAAAGGTGCGAAAAATGTTGGCGCTGGGATCGACGGTATCAATGCACGCATATTTAAAGCAACTTTTCGTGTAATACGTAGACACCTTGTATATCTTATGAATCTTTGTTTACGACAAAATGTATTCCCTCTGCCCCTGAAAAGAGCTGTTATAAAGCCGATTTATAAATCCGGAGACAAACAGAGCTTTAACAATTATAGACCTATAAGTATACTGCCTTTTATCTCGAAGATACTGGAAAAACTGGTCTTTAATCGGCTCGATACTTTTTTTAACTTCAACGATACGTTATCTAGGTATCAGTTCGGTTTTAGGAGTATAGAAGCACTTATATGCCTCTAATTTTGGTTCAGGAGAAGGTAAGCCAAGCTTTTGAGGCAGGCAATGTTGTCTGTGGCCTATATCTTGATCTACGAAAAGCGTTTGACACGGTGGACCAAAATGTTTTACTAAAAAAACTATATGCTTATGGTATACGTGGAGATGCGCATAAAATGATGACTTCGTATTTGCAGGATCGTGCCCAATGCACACAAATAGATCATGTCCGATCTAGCTTCCTCCCAGTAGACATAGGCGTGCCACAGGGCTCCATTTTAGGACCTCTCCTTTTTCTTATATACATTAATGATTTTCCCACTATATCTGACGATTTTACTGCGTATCTTTACGCAGATGACACGGCAATTTTTATAGAAGGCAAAGATGAAAACCATCTTCAAAGCATCATCAATGTCACCATGCCTAAAATCACAGACTGGTTTAAATCAAACAGACTTTCACTAAACACTGACAAAACAGTTTGCCAATTGTATAATATTTCTAAAAGTGATATAAGTGTATCTGTTTCTCTCTCTGGTGTTAATATCAAGTTCGTTAAAACTGTGAAATATTTGGGTATGTAATATGTATGTGGATGATGATATGAGATGGAAATCCCATATTACTTATCTTACTCATACGTTAGGTCGTAACGTAGGCTTGATAAGTCGAGTTAGGCATTTTCTTTTGCCTAAGCAGCTCATACTTTTGTACAATGCACTGTTCCAACCATATATTAACTACTGTTGTATGCTTTTTAGCAATACACATGTAACTTATATTGAGAAGCTTGAAAAACTACAAAAGCGTGTAGTAAGAATGATTGATGGACAAGACAGATTTGCCCACACTGCACCCATTTTTAAGAAGCTGAAGATCCTTCGTCTGAGAGACGTGGGCAAGCTACAAATGATGCTATTGATGCATAAAAAGTTGAATGGTACTTTGCCCACGCCTCTTGACGAACTTTTTACTGTTTTTGAACCGCTCCGAACCACCCGTTCACTTCATCACTTCCAGGAAACATTTACACACAAATTATACTGTACGCACACAGTACGTTGGGCTGGACCCAGGCTTTGGAACCAAGTTATGGGGCCAAAGTTCCCAAACCTACGAGATGTTCCAACCTCCAAGAGACATATCAAAGGTCTCTTAAAACAATTTTTCTTTGATTCTTACTGAACTGACACAATTGACCACGCATTTTATATTACAATAACTTTATACATTTTCATGCTGTCACAGTTCACCCCCGCACTGTTTTTGTCTGTATATTTGTATACAATGTGATATAATGAAGGAGACCCATAATGCCACTGCGTGTTTACAATAACATAGGTATTATGCATATATACCTAAACCAGAGCGAGAGGTGGTCTACTTCGATGAATCGTTATCTCACTATGTCATCATTGAATTTTGACCTCTTTAATGTATTTGTGCTTTCCATTGTTTTTTCTTTAGTTACGCTACCGTGTATTTTCCTTATAACTTTTTCGTGGAGTCACTCATGTATGTGTTGTGTTCGCATTCTCGAATTCATGTTTGTAACAACATGATATATTTCGACCGCTTATAAACTACGTAACAATACGTAACATTTCAAATAACGCCCTGACGTTTGCCCGCTGATTTGAGTTCGCTGAGCAACAAGCTTGCTTAGCTCGGCGGCTCTTTTCAGTGGGCATTTGACTCTGCCGAACCCAGACCAGATACTGCCCCCCCCCCCACCCCGCAAAAATGTGTGAATGCGCTGCACGATTAACCTAACTAACCGATGGAATGACTGATCCTTTGGCTTATTCTTAAATGGGAAGGTGTAGTGGTCAGTCAAGCTACATTTAGCCTTGACTTCTTTGCTTCTCTTTTAAGCCATATACCATACTAACAAGGGCCTTACCGCGCTTATTCCAGCTTTGATTTTGTTTTCTTCATTCTTCTAGCAGGGAGTGTCGCGACTTGATGTATTATGTTCCGGGGTGGTGTTAACGTAAGGTTCTATGTGTCGCGCGGGTCAGTGGGTGGACACTCCTGGTCGTCTATTCATGGGCGGCGGCTTAGAAAAAAAAAAATATATCCCCGTAGCCGACACACTCCATAACGTAGGAAGGCCACAGCTGGTAACGCGCTTCCCTGCCGCAGGTGACGTACACATTCGAGGTGGTGGACGACCCGGAGCAGGCGGACGGCGCCTCAGCCGGCTCCGACCTGCTGGCCAAGTCCCGGCAGATCATGGTGCCCCAGGTGCGGCCGGGCGGCACGGCGGCGCCCTCCAAATCGGCCGCCACCGCCGCCTCGACTGTCACCGCCGCCCGACTCACCGTCGGAAAGGTGCGTGGGGCCCTGGCAGCGGGGAGCGGGAGTGGGTATCGTCGGGTCTCTGATAGACTGGCTAGGAGGGGACTATCAGTGTCTCACGACCATCGCTCGGTCAGCCTCGTGACAGGGCACGCCGGGTAAATGTTTCAGGTCCCAGGATCCTGGGACATTTAGTCACCTAGCTTCAGCCAGCAGCTTATGTACAGTCACCAGCACTTGCTACCCATCACCCCCGGACGGCGGGGGAGCAAGCTACCACCGCCCTTGCGAGACTAGCACCGCCATGCGCCAAGATGTGGAAACACCACGTGACTGAGGCCACGTGAGGGCAGGGTCACGTGATGGAGGGGCGGAGCATAGTAGCTTTTGCGCCCGACACTAACTGAAATGCGGCGCTGTGATTGGGCGCCTTAGCATGAATGAAGCCCCGGCGCCAGAATCAGCCGTTCGCCTTATATGGAAGGTGAGCCTGTGCGTTTCACTGTTCTGTGTTGGTTTGAGAGCCACGGCACCAAACGAATTGTGAGCCCCTTAGAACGGGTCACCGCCCGAGGCACTGAGGCGACGGCTGTGCCGGGCAAAGCCTAGCCTGGTGGGAGAGGTGGGCCAGGGAAAGTGCGATCGAGCAGCCACTGGGACGTGGATTGGTATTAACTATTATCTAACCGCGACAAACGATGTCAGCAGCCTCTTCTCGTGTCATCGACAGTGTCTATGACACGAAAAGTTTGACAGACAACGTGGGCAGTGCCCAAGCAAAAGCTACTAAACGATTCAGTTGAGAAGTTGGCGAGATAACCAGACCCAATAAAAAGTTTTTAATTCCATTTTGATTGACAAATGACATACAAGCCCGCTGTGATGGACCAAAAAAGGAGCTGAACAGTTCATACCTACAACTTCTAAAAAGCTCAACGGTAAAAATTTAAGGGTTAAATGTTAAAATTCAGCCTACATGTTAAAACTCTGGTCCGGCGCTGGCAGGAAGCTTATATTGCCACTTGTAATTCCACTACGTTGTAATATAAGCAAGAGTATATGTGAGTGCAACAACTGAAAGCCTCGAGCCCCGTTGGGGGGGGGGGGGGCGAAGCAGCCCCCTCTCTCCTTTTCAGTCGATATCTCCTTAGGTATAGCGTAAGTATACCGTGGTGTCATTCGCAACAAGCACTGCTTAGCGGCCGGCACCCAGGCCCATAGCCACGCATTCATCCATTCGGACAAAATTTCTTTAAAAAAAAGGTCACCACCAAACTTTCAACACCCCTCCGGGCATCATTTTTACACCTTGTGACCAAATTTTTCCAGAGCTCATGAATGGTCAGTCACAAATGACGTCAGAGTGACGACATGTTCTGTCATTTTCGACCCAATAAAAGGTTTAGCGGGAAGAGCTGTCACGGTTACGGTTTTGAAGCTAACAAAAAATATTCCAGATTAAAAAGATGTAAAGTAAACAGCGCTGCAATACTGCTAACTCTGTTTTCTAAACAAAAATTGATTTCGACCATAAAAACTATAGAAGTATAACACCTCGAAAATACCAATACTTTCAAAATTAGAACTGGAATATATGTTATAGAACTATCTGCTCTAAATGTGCCAAAAATAGACTCGATAGCTCCATTTTTAGCAAAGTTATGGCAAAAAAAACTACTCAAAATGTATTACGTAAAATTTTCAAACTCAGTTTTTAGCCGTTACAGAACACACAGAGCAAGCCAAAGACCACCATTGGATTTCCCGTGATGAGCTGCATCGAATAGATACCCCTTTTATGCAAAATATCACCTTTTAACCCTCGCCCGCACATGGGGGGGGGGGGTGGTTGCCACCCCCCAGGCAGTCTTTCTGCTCTGCACTCAACATTTTTAGAGCTAGAAGGCTGATTTTTCGTATAGCTGCTCGTCTATCCTTTCTTGATGTCCACTAAAAATTTCAAGTTTCTGTGATTTTTGGTTTCGGAGATATGACCTTGTTTTTCAGGTCATGTCATGACCCAAGTGGCCAATTCTCAACATCTTGCGTTTGCCATGGGCCTTGTGAGCTTTTGACACCTTGATTTCGGCCTTTTTTGCCAGTCTTACCTCCCACCTATCATGGAACATGTTGTTCGACGATGTACAGGGGTCAAGGTCAGGGTCAAGGTCAACCTAGGTCATCTAAGATAATTGCGTTTTAGGCAAGCTGAATTTACTTTTTGTGAAGTTTTTTGACTGCATTTTTGGTAAAAGCTTCTCAGATCATGATTTCATGTGATATGGACCCAAAAACAATCGGTGCACACATCAGTATACACACAGACACACACAGACATACAAACACATATAATTGACCTTGACCTAACTTGACCTGGAATGACCTCAGCAGCAAAATTCTGGTCGGATAGTGTGACAAAGAGGTTCTAGCTGGCTTGGCACCAGAAAACAGCATCGTCATCGGTATTTGATAAGCAGCGCACTTGATATCCAACGGTGACCCAAAACAGCAACATTTTTTAGTTTGACCTGACCTGGAAGGTCAATGACTGACCTGAGAAGGTAAAACTGGGTATCATTGGATTCGTCTCTTCCCAAAGAATCTTTTTGGTCTTTACTGCTAAGCTCTATCTCCAACAGGAACGAAATGGCGCGGGGGGGTGGCAACCACCCCCCCCCCCCCATGTGCGTTCTAGGATGGGAAAATGGCATGTGCGGGCGAGGGTTAAATTTAACCTTCTTTGACCTGACCTTGATCTGACCTCCACCAGAACGTAATCTAAACCGGCCCCAATGGCCGTCTAGCCCACACCATTGAATTTTAAATGTAAAATTGACCATAAAACAAGTATTACGCGACCCTAGCAATTAGCAAAGTTGGGTTCATATTGTGACCCTTAGTGACCTGACCTCTGTGACCTGACCCATCAGTGACCTCTTTAGGCAACATATGTATTGGGCAACCACGCTCCATCGATGTTTTCGATAACATGCCTTTTATTTGATGTGTTAACTGACTGTAACGCATTCCTCAGACTAAATCGGTGAAAAAATGCAACCTTTGACCTGACTTGTGACGTCATGGGTTGCACCTAGGTCAACGAAACCTGGTAACAAGGTAGTTCCCTGGTGGGGCTATCAAACGTTCTGCGAATTTTCAAAATCGGCCGGTAACTTTTCGAGATCTCAGGTGGAGGACGAAACGGCTGCACCACCCCATCAGGTGGTAGGGTCCGCCAATAGCCCAACGGGGCGCGAATTATTTACTCATTCATACAGTGTCATCTATTTTGAGAACACCTTTCTCACGCCTTGACATGGTCCTCTCGTAATAAATCGAGATGAGGAGAGTGTTTTCACGCCTCCTGATGCACGGCTCTAGTGTCATTGAGCTATCAACTGTCAGCGGTTTTCGGACAATGAAGGAAGGCTTTTGGTCGATTTTAGGTCAGATCTTGGGTCAGATCATTTCAGTGGCGGATCCAGAGGGGGGCATGGGGCCATGCCCCCCCTTGGGCCTCGCGGGGGGCACCATCACGGAGTTGTTTTTTTTTAATTCATCACGGAGGTCACCGACGGGAGCTTTAACCCAGAGGCCTCCTAAGGGGGCACCATCCAGGTCTATGGGAATAGGGTACCGTTTTCGGAGCCTCCCGGAGGCCCATTTCTGTCCCTCGCCTCGGGTTTTCAAGTTTAATATCGTCCATCTATTTCCATCCCGAGGTCCGCGGGGGCACCATCTCGAGTTCTCAGGGGGTACTATCCCGAGTTCTCCGCGGGCACCATCCCAAGGTCGGTGAGGGCACCATCTCGAGGGTCCAGGGCACCATCCCGAGGTCTCCGGCGGCACCATTGCGAGGTCTGGGGGCACCATCCCGAGGTCTCCGGGAGCACCATTCCAAGTTTCCAGGGGCACTTTTCCGAAATCCGAGGTCTGAAGGAGCACTCTCCCCGGGTGTGAGGGGGCACCATCCCGAAGTCTCAGGGCACCATCCCAAGGTCTCAGGGGCACCATCCCGAGGTCTCAAGGGCACCATCCTGAGGTCTCAGGGGCCGTTTGATCGGCGCCGTGCTGGGGGGGGGGGGCGTTTATACGCCCCCCTAGGTTTTTCGCGAATATCTCAAAAACGGCGACGCGTAGCGCCGCTGTTATAGATATACCCGTTTCGGCATCTTTTTCGCACATGTTATGAAAATTTCAGATCCCAGTCATTCAAGGTCAGGTCACCAGGTAACGTCAAGTGACCTTACCTCAGAAAAAAGTTCGAAAGCTCCCTGTAGCTACACCGACTGATCGATCACTTTGAAACTTTCAGTACTTGCTTAGGGTAACAGTATGTTTAAAATGGATATCTCGGATTTTTTCTATATCTGTGAGTTGTGATCTAAGGTCAGGTCAATTTTGCAACTGCTCCATTTTCGATTTGATTTCGATTTCGATTTCATCGTTGATCTGAGGTCAATGGGAGAAAATCGAAATGAGCCTCTTTTTGACGAATGTCGTTCTACACCCTCTCAAACATCGGTTCATATGTAAACATGACACACTGAATCGGAAAATTGCACCTGTGCCCCCTTTGTGTGCCCCTGAGGTCAGCTCAGGTCATGAAAGGTCTTCAGCAGTTTTTGACTATAACTTTTGATTTGACAGAGACGTGCTAGAGCGGTGAAAACACGGGGGCTAAACCGTTGATCTGAGGTTAAATTTGAGGTCAATCAGAGCGGTGCCCTCTGGGGGCTAAACCGTTGATCTGAGGCCAAATTTGAGGACATGTCGGCGAAAGAGCCTTAACCCGCGCCCTGGTGGGGTCTGTTTATAACGCGACCTGGTGGGGGGGGGGGGCTATTTTTTGCCCCCCCTCGTATCTCCGAAACTACTGGACGGATCCGCAAAATTCAAACGGCGTTCGAAAGGCCTGTCAAATTTGTCGAAGGAAACCAAATTTCATTGACCTCGGGGTCACCGATGACGTCACAGGTCAGGTCAAAGATGCAATGTTTCACCGTTCACGGGTAATCTAGGGAATGCGCTATAACACCGAAGAAAACGCATTTTGTCGAGAATCAGCGATAGGGCGTCAGTTGCCTAGTACATATATTGCTATAAGAGGTCACTGACATTACCAGGTCACAGGTCAGGTCACCAAGGGTCACAGGTCAGGTCACATGAACCTAACTTTAGGTACTAAGGTTGTGCGATGCATGTTTTATGGCCAATTTTTCATTTCCAACTCAATGGTGTTGGTTATAAGACTATCAGGTACGGCTTAGGCCACTTTCTGGTGGAGGTCAGGTCAAGGTCAGGTCAAAAAAGGTCAAATTTCAAAGTTGATATTTTTGCATAAAATGGGTATTGATTCGATGCAGCTCGTCACGGGGAGTCTAATGGTGGTCTTTGTTTTGCGCTACGAGGTCTAGAATTGCAAAAAATTGAGTTTGAAAATTTGACGTCGTCAATTTTGAACAGTTTTTTCGCTGTAACTTGGCCAAAAAAAGAGGTATCGATCTCAAATTTGGTATGTAGATAGAAGGCGGTAAGGACTATCACATATATTCCGTTTTTTTTCGAAATTCAAAAAACTTTTTGGATTTTTCGGCTATTATAATCAAAAAATCTATTTTTTGATTTTTGGGGGTCAAAATCCAAAAATTTCAAAAATCCGAGATAGCAGTTTTGTAGCCCTGTCAATTCAACAGCTTTTATGTATTTATCGTTTTTCTGTATTTGCAAAGCTATAGGCCTGACAGCTCTTCCCGCGAAACCCTTTTTTGGGTCGAAAACGGCAGAACATGACGTCACTCTGACGTCATTTCCGGCCAACCTATCATAGCCTTTGGATAAATTTTTGGTCACAATGTGTAAAATTGATGTCCGGGAGGGTACTGAAAGTTTGGTGACGATCGGCGCAGCGGTTCTGGAGATATATCGAAAAGTCTGGAGGGGGGGGGGGGAAAATAGCCCCCCCCCCCCACCAGGGCGCGGGTTAAAAGAGCTATCGAATGCGCTTTTCCACGGCGCTGTAGCTCTATTGGTTCCAGAGTTAGCTGTCGGGTGTTTAAAATCGTTGAAATCGACAAAATTTGAAATTTGAAGATATCTGGTGAAGATATCTCTGAAGATATCTCCCTCTCTCTCCCTCTCCTCTCTCTCCTCTCTCTCCCACTCTCTCCTCTCTCTCTCCCACTCTCTCCTCTCTCTCTCCCACTCTCTCTCCTCTCTCTCCTCTCTCTCTCTCTCTCTCTCTCTCCCACTCTCTCTCCTCTCTCTCTCCCACTCTCTCTCCTCTCTCTCCTCTCTCTCTCTCCCACTCTCTCTCCTCTCTCTCTCCCACTCTCTCTCCTCTCTCTCTCCCACTCTCTCTCCTCTCTCTCTCCTCTCTCTCTTCCACTCTTTCTCCTCTCTCTCCCTCTCTCCCCCTCTCTCTCTCTCTCTCTCTTTCCTTACAATATTCTCGACTGCCACAGCGTTGTAGAAGTTGTTTCAAGACAGGTCCAGGCGCTCCCTACTCCGCAGGCCCCAACCCACACGGCTCAACCGCCCAAACACCCTCCGGCGGATGACCTCTGACTTCGGCGACCTGACCCCAGCCGACCGATCGCGTCCCTCTCCACGCCTCCGCCCCGCTTCCCCCACTACAGCTGCGTAGTAATTGTAGCGTGTGCAAAGGTCACGTGACATTATTTACTTCTGCGGTTTGTTCGGCTGACAAGAGATGGCACTAGTGGTCTGTGGATCAGAGGCGGGGCTAGGTTCTACGACTTCTTGGGGCAACTTCAGGGCAGAAAAGACGTTTTTTGGCTCCTCATCCCAAAATACTTCGAACATACAAAAACAAGTTAGATATTCGAAAATCGGAGGACCAAACCGATCGTTTGACGTGTCTTGCTCGACTGAGAACTGATCGGTCTTCAAACTACTGAGCAAAAACGTGGTGATTAGTAGCAAGTGCTGGTGACTGTACCAGCGTGTGCTGTTTCGCATCAGTGTCGCGGCAGTCCGGGGTGTTTGCTGTACCTTCCTGTCTGACTCCAATCTATACTGTATGCTGTTTTGTCTTACATCTACAGTGTGGTGCGCGGTTGCGGCCCAAGATATCTACTGGCCCCAGTACCTATGTTCCTATCTGACCGGCTCTGTCTCGTACCCCCTCAGGCGGCGTCTGGGTCTGGAACCGCCACGGCCTCCGCCGGCGGTGCCAAGTCGGCGGCTGCGGACGGTGCCAACAATGACTCGAACGGCGCAGGCGCCACAGCTGAGGTACGGTAGGCCAACTCTAACAATGCAGCAGCTGCAGTTATAGTGGACAGTGGTGATTGCAGAGCGCCTAGTTAACTAGCTAGGCAATCGTTTTTTGGGTTTATGATATTCAGTCATCTACATCGGTGAAAGTGGTTGATTGATCTCGGAATAAACTATATAGTTTGTAGCATTATTCGACCCGTTCCCTATTGATTGCCCGGCATGCCCCCCCCCCCCCCCTTCTGACTCTGACTGGCGCTCTGGCGGTGATTTCAGGATCCGTCGGAGGACGACCCCGATGTGCCCGTCATCCTGACGCCCATGAACGGCCAGAACCTGCCGGACTTCATCGAGCCGCGGCCCGGTCTCAAGATCCTGGTGCGGCCTCTGCGCGAGACGCCTGGCGCGCCGCCGCCGCCCGCGCGGCCGCTCGGCTCTTCAGACAACCCGATCCAGCTGGTCCAGCAGGGCAACACGTTCAAGTCGCTGCAGCCGCTGAGCGCCGAGCAGCTCAAACAGATCGCCACAGTGCTCCAGCAGAGCAGGCTCAATGTGCCCGGAAACGCCAAGAACACCATCTACGACGCAAATACAAATACGCGCATCGTGTACCGGTGAGATAGGCTACAGCGATGTGCTGGGGAAGGGGATGGTAACTGGCGGGGAATTGTAACATGCTGTCCTGGCTGACCGCTGGAGACGCGGACGTAATCTATCCCGGTCATGGTGTCGGTACCGATCGGCAGTATTTTGAAGGGGCCCATTGCGCTAATGATAGCGTATTGAACTGTGTCTTGTCGAGCTTTGGCTTCTGACATTACATGGCCCACGCAGGCAGCGTAGCATTACCCGGAGCACTGGTCGACCGACTGAGTTATGACATGACCTAACCTGACCCTTGACCTAACCTGACCTTTGACCTAACCTGACCTTTGACCTAACCTGCCCTCTGACCTGAGCTGACTTCTTCCGGCAGGGTGGTGTACCCGGAGGACCAGCGGCCGGCCGGCCGGGGCCGCTCCTCGTCCTACTACACTCCGCGCGGCCGGGGTCGGGGTCGACCTCGCGGCCGGGGCCGGGGCCGCGGCAGGGCGCGGGGCCGGCCGCGCAAGGAGGACTACGACCAGGACTGGCACCCCGGCATGGACACGGAGATGGAGCCGGTACGCTCTTTTTCTCTATCTCTTTCATGGTCTTTGTCGTCGATTTGGGTAGCTTCGAAGACAGTTCGTAGGACAGGACAGTTCCAGATCTGATTCACCATTGTAAGCTAGTGGTATCCGTATATCGTAAGCTACCCGCGGCTGTTTTCTGCTGCCCAGATCGAAGCGTGTTTCCTTCCTCAGCCAGCACGCCGCTCTGACCACTGTCGATTTACAGGTGGATCCCGCCGAAAAGAAGAAAATCACGACTAAAACTCGAACGGGGCGCGTCTCCAAACCTCCCAAACACATGGTCAAGGACTACAAGCATATTCACAGGTAGGCTGATTGCCGGACAGTCACGTGGGAATTAATTGCTTCTGTTTCTGATTCTTGTGATGGTGTTGGTTGACTAATGTCCAACGTTAGTTTTATACGTACCGAGTTATCCTGGTCTCGTAATCTTGTTTTTGTGCGGCTGAATGCATTTATTTGGATGCGATTAGTGATTGCCCACCACCCATAATTATGGTTCTAATCCTCTGAGTGCTGAAATATTCGGCCTAGACGTTCGAGTTCTGACCTCACTAAACAGCTGTATTGCCACCCAATCCCACTGAACGGCTTTGTCTGACCCAGACAGCTGACCCGTCGAGTCTCACCTCTTGTTCTGACCTGTTCCAGGCTGGACCTGAACCAGCCGGACCTGGACGATTCGGACGGCGGATACTCGGACTACGGAGACCTGGAGACGGGTGGCGACGGGGAGCAGGAGGGCGGCGTGAAGACGGAGCCGGGCGAGGACGGGGAGGCAGGTCAGTACAGACAGGGAGGGAGTGGGGAGTGTACAGAGACGGGGAGCAGGACGGGGAGAGGCCGAGGGCGGCGTCAAGGAGCCGGGGGAGGCAGGTCAGTCTGGAGGGGGGAGTGGGGAGTGTATAGAGACGGGCGGCGACGGGGAGCAGCACGGGGAGGCAGGTCAGTATGGAGGGGGGAGTGGGGAGTGTATAGAGACGGGCGGCGACGGGGAGCAGGAGGGCGGCGTGAAGACGGAGCCGGGCGTGGACGGGGAGGCAGGTCAGTACAGACAGGGAGGGAGTGGGGAGTGTATAGAGACGGGCGGCGACGGGGCGTGAAGACGGAGCCGGGCGAGGACGGGGAGGCAGGTCAGTACAGACAGGGAGGGAGTGGGGAGTGTACAGAGACGGGGAGCAGGACGGGGAGAGGCCGAGGGCGGCGTCAAGGAGCCGGGGGAGGCAGGTCAGTGAGAGAGAATGGAGCAGGTCGTACAGAAGCGGCACCGGAGGGAGAGGCAGGTCAGTCTGCAGGGAGGAGACTGTGAATGATGTTACAGAGGCGGGGGAGACGGGTCAGTCAGTAGGGCCAGAGTACTCAGAACTGACCGTACAAAGAGGAGCAGCCGCTGATAGTTCAGGGGACGGAGAATCCTATAAAGATGCAGACAAATGGATGAAAAGCTCATCCATGGCAATAGGGAGGACTCCTAAAAAAAGGTTCCAGGCAGTTGGGTTCACAGGCTTAGAGGGCGGTGCTCTGACAGCGGTATCTGTCAATATGACGTGGAAGTGGACTGGATGTTAAACACAACTGTCATGTGAGAGCCGGATGGATTTAACCTCTTTGTGTAAAATTTGTCGCAATGTCACCAAAACTGCCTGGCCCGCCTCTGACCGAGCTGATCTCCCCCTTCTGTGTGCTCTGGCGCAGGGACATCCTCCAAGTCTGGCCAGCGACTGACTGCCGCCGGGACGCCGCGGGTCAAACGCGAGGTGCCGCAGGCGGTCCGTGATCGGTTCACCTGCCGGACCTGTGGCACGCTGTGTATTGGCTACGCCCGGCTCGAGGGCCACTACCGGAAAAATCCCACACACAGGAGACACTGTGAGTGACTGGGTTTTTTGATCGGGTTGGGATGGGTGAAATGTGTACGTTGGACTTGGTAGCGTGTGTGTAACTACGTTGACTATCCTTTTTTAGGCATCCAGATCATGGCATAAATACGAGTATTCCGATGGATTTGTCATGCAACGTGCATCCGCACTGGCTCTTGATCTTCTTAGCCCGTATCGGTTGTATTGGGTCGGTCGGTGTGCTAGTTAATGTGCTTGAACTGGGGAGCTATTGTTGTTCCTGACACCGGGCCCTGTCTGTCGGCAGCCATGGACTTCCCGTCTCCGGTCAAGCCGAGGCCCGCTGTGGTGTACACAGGTGAGTGTCGGACGTGTGATGCTACCTAACGTATTCGACGATACGGTGTGACGGGGCCGCAACAGCAGCCTGATAAGTGATCTTTGAAAGCTGCTATGTCTCGCTGCCCCCCAAGGTTCCAGTACTAATGCTGCAGCTGTCTATCGTCATAGAATGACTACTTTGTTTGTTAATTGGGGCTTAAGGGCGCGCCGACTACTAAGGTCATTTTGCGCCCATAAAATGACTACTTTAGTTTATACCCCAGTTCTTTGTGTGACGTAGGTAGCCAGTTGGGGGTGGTACCCCTCTGACCGTCGTGTCTGTGCTGTTTTCCAAACCGCAGGTAGGAGAGGTCGGCCACCCCGCCAGCCTGCGTTCGAGAGCCGTCTGCCTGCCAAACGACCCCGGTTGGAGGTAAGCTCGGAGTCCGCCCCTGACTGAAGACCCTGAGGGACGCCATGGCTCGTTCGATCCTGCTCGAACGACGACTAGTTGCGTTTAGTGACATGGATTGAACTGTGATTGGGATGGCTAACGATGCAGCGTTGAAGTCATTTGTGACGTAGGTCTCCTATTTACCTCGTCCTCACCCATTCCAGTGATGCAGTGTAATGATGTAATGCGTTCACTGAGTTAGCGAGCGGCCGTGACCTCGCTGACCCAGTGCTTCCCCCTCCCCTCCCCTCTCTGAGGGATGTCGCAATCATGAAGCTACTAGCCCATATTGTTTTGTCAGATCGCAGGGTTGCTTGCTTCTGTGATGGTGGCATTGCTAAACCCTGGCCCTTTAAATAACCCTACCTCGTTTGTTCCGACCTCGTGACTCGCCCTCCATGTCCCTCTGACCTCAGAAAGATCGGACCGTCTCTCCATGTCTGACCCATAAGTTATGATCCACCGTCAACTGACCCTTTGACTCATCCACATGTCTGACCTTTAACCCTCTTTGCCCCTCTGACGGCGATGTCTGCCCCCCCAGGAACCAAAGGAGCCGGAGGAGGAGCCGCTGTCGCCGGAGCAGCTGGTGACCACTCTGCTGGACCAGTCGGGAGGCAGCATCAACCGGCTCTGTGACGCCATGGCCGAGTGTGTCAAACAGTTTCGGGAGCGGGTACGCGGCGCGCTGCGCTCCCCCGCCGAGGATGAGGAGGTGGATGAGAGTGCCGCATTTACGGTGAGATATGGAAAGATGTGGAGGGAGGTGGTTGGTGAGAGTGTTATCTTATTCACGGTGAGGAATGAGCAATACGGACATTTTTTGTATGGTGAAAGATGGACGGGGCACCGTTTTTACAGTACCTGAGTGATTGGTATTTGGTAATGAGACACATGTTCATCACACCATCACATCGTGTCTGGTCTCGCCTGTTGTGTTCTGCCCGTGTGCCGCTATTCTGACGACCTCCGTTTCCCGCCGACAGATCGACGCCGAGCGGTCGGCGCTGACCGGCCTGCCGGAGGGCGTCTACTTGCCCACCGAGCGGCCCGCGTCGGCGGCAGCCTCGGCCGTCTCGTCGCCGGCGCCGTCGGCCGCCGAGCAGCCCCAGTCTCCGCGGCCGCCGGCCGCCGCGCCTGCGACACTCACACTAGAGGAGGCTCTGGCCGCGCAGATGGAGGAGCCGCCCGAGCAGCTGATGGAGACGGAGCCGGAGCCGGAGCCAGCGGACAAGGAGGAAGCCGGCACACAGGAGCCCATGGAGCAGGACGCTGGGGCCGCTCCCGCGCCGGCGGAGGCCGAGGGTGACACGAAGCCGGCCGGCTCTCCGGAGAAGTCTGACCCCGCCGGTACGGCCGCGGAGGGCGAGCGGCCGCCGGAGGGCCGGAAGGAGCCCGCGGAGCCCGTGGGGGACGTGTTGGACGAGTTCGTCGGCGGTCTGGTGGACACGGCCGACTACGCGCCGCTGCCGCCCGGCGGCGAGACGGCGCCGGCGGCGGCGGCGGCGGCCGAGTTTGACGCCGGTCAGATCCAGATCCGGCTGCCCGACGGCCGGGACCTGACGGCAGCCGCCGCCGCGCCGGAGACCGCTACTGAGGCCGGGACCGAGGGAGAGGCGGAGACGGAGACGGAGGCGGAGGCGGGCGCCAGCATGCCGCTGCTGGCCGATCAGCGGTGAGCGGCCGGCCGCCAGCGAGGGACCCGAGAACGTACAAACCGCGGCTCCCACCGAGCCGCTGTGAAGAGCAGCCGCTTTTGGCTGCAGTGACGCCATTTACTGTGGGTGCTGCGCCGCACGCTTCCACATTCACACATTACATTGTACATTCTCATCCCGGATAAATAGCATCTACCCATCGTCACGATTTGGTTGGTTTTGCGAAGCTTATTTGCAACCAGAATTATTATGAACTTCTGGTGTGTGTTGCGCCAGTTTCTAATAAACTGTCAATATGTATCCGTGTTTGCGAAACCCGTGGGTAACTAAACGGTTCACTTTATTTTCAACAAGCGTAGTTGACCAACAAGACATCGCCGAACACTCAACCATCTCTTCGCTGGTATGATAGGTGTCACCAGCGGATATTGGATCTCTCACAGTATCGCAATCACAGAGGATCCCATGAGCTCACAGTTCCCCTCTTATCCCCTTTTAGGCTGAGGTCCACTGACCGAGAGTCACCCAATGGCGATCAGACCAGTCCCGCTCAATCTGAGTCCGATATGGCGTCAGAGTCATAGTAAGCTCCGCCCAGCAGCCGCGGAACCGGCCGCTCAGACATCTCGGTATCCTCTGCTTGTGGTGCAGTTTGCTTCGAAACCTCTGTATCTTCCGCAGGTGGCGCCGGTTGCTCGGGCACCGCACCGCTACCTCCTACCGACGATGTTGGAATGGCCGATGGTTCTGCCCGGTCGGAGGGAGAACCAGCTGCCTCCTCTGCGCTCTGTCCACCAGGGGGAGCCACTCGCGCCCCACCTATCGGCCGTCCGTCAAAGAACTGTTCGTTCACCACATACCGCACACACTGCAGAAGGATGTTCCGCTCGCGACGGATATCGTTCGCCAACAGTTTCTCTAGCAGGGTCAGCGGACGGCGCCGTTTTCTGGGAGGCTGTGCGGGGCCACCGCCCCGGCCCCCGCCGCGCTGACCCCGTCCCCGTCCCCGCCGCCACTGACCCCGGCCGGCCGAGTTACCGTTGGTGAGACGGTCCGCAGAGGCCGGAGCGGTAGCCGGAGAGTCGGGGCCGGGAGGCGGACCGTAGCCGACCGTCGTGGGTCTCTCCGGGACCTTGTCACCCCCGCTGGGGACTGATGGGGAGCACTTGGGTCCAGCCGGCGGGTCCTTGCCAGCAGGCGACAGTGCGGGCTGCTGCTCTACGTCACCGTTCCCGTCATCCCCCTCCGCTACGTCACCATTCGTGATATCCTCGCCTTCCGCTGCGTCAACGTTCACATCTTGGCCATCTACTTCGTTGTGTTTCTCCATGTCCTGTTCTTCCACTGCATTCACATCTCCCGCGTCCTGGTTTTCCGTCATGCCAATGCTCTTGCACACAGCGTCTGTGTTTGCCGTCACAGCCAGAATTCCGGTGAAAGGAGCCAGACCCCGGCACGTTTCGTCCTCGTCGCTGTCGGAGTGAGCTGTCTGCTGCTGGGCAGGCGGTCGGTGGTGCGCTCCCCGACCGCGGCCCCTGCCGCCGCGACCGCGACCCCGACCCCGCCCGGGCCGCTCCTGCGCCGGCGGGAAGCGGCCGCCCCGCTCCGGTATCCGGATACCGCGCGCCGCGCGCTCTGCCTGCTCAGCCTGCCGGCGCGCCGCAGACTCGGGACGACAGAAGTTGGCTCGCCGCTGCTCGCGCCAGCGCGCGATCGCCTCAGGCGTGTTGAGCGCCATGATGACCTTAGCCAGCCCGGTCTGGTGCTGCATGGTTACGTGTTTCTCGACAACACGCGGGTGTGCCGTGAAGGGGCAGTCTTCCAGACCGCAGCGCACGTGCTCTCGGCAGTGCTCGTCCAGCTGCTGCTGTGTACCGTAGCTGCGGTCACACGATCCGCAGTGGAAGGGCCGCGCGCGCCGGTCCGACGCCAGGATCTCGTCGGTACGCTCCGGGTGCGCCAGGCAGAAGCGCTCCTTGGCCTCATTCACCAGCCGGTTGACGAGCTGGCGCTGCTGGTCGGCGGCGGCGCGGTCCTCCTCGCAGCTGGAGCGCGCCGCGCGGTTCTGCAGGAAGTTGCGGCGTCGGATCTCGGCCACCAGGTGCGGTGTCATCCACGGCTTGTCGCTGGTGAAGCCGGGCGGCGCCGCCGGAGCGGTCTGAGCGCGCGGCGTCGGCAGGCGGATCTGACCCGGCGGAGGGGGGAAGTCGGGTCGGTACTTCACCGGCGCCGAGTAGAACGGTCGCGCCGCCATCCCAGTCAGTGGTCAGGCCTCCAGAGCTGTAAGGGAAAAGTAACAGTTGAAAAAGAATGTCATGAATGTTTCTTATCAGAGCTACTTTTTATAACAGCCACCTATTTGTGGCTCCAGCATGCAGCTGGAGCAGATATCTCATGTCTCACAGAATAATACAATCTTTTGTGTTTTAGGCAATATCAGGATTGAAAAATGCATCAGCGTCAAACCAGAGCTAAAAATTTGCATAACAATTTATCATTTACAATAATCTTCATTTTATGTTGTGATACTTAAATTATTTGATACTTGATAGGCATTATATACAGATATTGTGTAAGAAAATTCAAATTACACCATAACACAGTAGCATTTAGTCCAAATCTGATGAGTTATAAAAATAAATGATTAATTATATGTTATCAAACATTTAGATAAAATAACAGCATAATTCAATTAGGCAGCTGCCAGCTACACAAAAAATAAAGCTTTTGAAATAGGAATCTTTCTTGTTCTAGTTGGATTAGGGCGTGTAGCTGCCAGGGCTCAAGCGTCCATCATTGAAATAGGAATCATAAACCACTGTGTCCTAAAAATGAAGGAATATTTCCAAATAAGCCATAGCTCAAAAATCGAACTGACATCATCCCATTGTATATAGTTCTGCAGGGTCAACCTAAGAGACTAGAGAGGGCTTCAATTCAATTGGGGGCAAGTGCCAGCCACTTCCAATATCCAAAGCTAGACTCGGGATTGTGAACTTTCAATCATCCACTTCTGTACGCAGGGATCCTGATGATGATATGATCAATGAAAACTATGATAACATATGATAACATATTCCAACGACTGATGCAGTGACACACTGACACAAAGCTCGTCACGTCCGGATCCAAGAGGCCAAAAGGCCTTCCTAAATTCCGCATTTTATAAGTATAAGTAAGTATAAGTATAAGTATATGAACCACACCAAGACACAGGGACGCATGCACCTAAATAAATCATCAATCTTCAGGCAGAATGGCTGAATTTATCAGTTTATGAAAAGAGAAAGATAGGTAGGTCATTGGTCAAGGTGCAACCGCTCTTCTAGAACGTAGGCCTCACACAGCTCCCACCGCAGCCCTAGCTCTCACGTACTCCAAACGTATTGACATTGACAAAACTTCTAAGACACTCGTCAATACACAGCAATCCATATTTAGGTATTTATTTACCATGTGAATCTCCCGACCCACCAATTCAAATTTGTTTGTTTTCTTGGTTGTTTAACGACGCATCAGTCAGACTTGACTATTAGCGTCGGTTCTTCTTATTCGTCTTGCTGTTCTTCGGGGCTGGAAAGCCTGGCTAAAGCCAGTGGGTCATAATCGAGTCTGGGGAATGTGAGACAGGTATACCAGGAATTTAGGACTGACAGGAGCATGAAGGACATGGAGGATGGGAAAGAGAGAGTAGGAGTATGATGAGTTTCAACATGTGGGATAACCATCTGTGTGTAGTATGTGTAACCATGATGAGGTCGTTCTGCTATAGTTGTTCTAGCAGTTGGGTTCTCCGAAGGTAATCACAGACTGCCTCTATGAGAACCGGATATTCATCACTCAGGAGATGTGTTAGATCGAAAGAAACATTCATTGTAGTACATAGTCGTCTGAGGTTTCGTCTGTCCATTGTGTACTTGCGGCAGTGTAAAATGATGTGTACCACACTTAATGGGCTGTTGCATGTTGTGCATAACTCAAATCTCGAGTTGTTGAAGAGCCCGCTATGGGTCAGTCTAGTATGCCCTAGTCTAAGCCGAGCAAGGGCAACCTCTTCCCTTCTTGACTTTCGGTTTGATGATTCCCATTCCCCGGTGTCAGGTTTAATCGCTTTAAGGAAAGTCGGTCCACTGTCCTTCCACGACCTGGAAAACCAATTTGCAACAGATCGTCTGAGCATGGGCAGTATATCTTTGTAATCGGGGGGCATGGGTGTGATGTCCTCTTTAGTCAGTGCTTGTTTAGCGCGACTGTCTGCCATTTCATTTCCAGGTATTCCAACATGGCCTGGAATCCACATGAGGAGGACATCCTGATGATTTTGGTCTATTTCATGTAAGGTCATCTGGATGTCCTTCACCACGGACCTCGAGTTACCAGTATTTGTGAGACTCTGCAGTGCCGATTTGCTGTCACTGCAGACAATGGCTCTGGGAACTCTGCGAGAAACGATATACTGTAGAGCTCGTAGGATGGCAAACAGTTCAGCACAGTGCACACTGGTGTCATCTGGTAAGCGATCGTCGAAGTAAACATGTTCAAAGACAAAAGCACATGCGGTGTTTAGGTTCTGCTTGGACCCATCCGTGAAAAAGATGGTAAAATCAGGGTACATCGCAATAGTCTGGTAAAAGCTCGCCCGTAACTCAGCTGGAGTGCACAAATTCTTGGAGGACACTGGAAGATGTGTGTATTGGGGCCCTTTGAGAGTCCACGGTGGAATCGGCAAAAGAGCGCGCGCAGTGGGTATCGGTAAGGCAACCCGCAGCCGATCAAGATAGCGCTGTACTCTGGCACCAATGGGAAAACCAGACCTTTTCGGAGGTACATCACGGTTTCTATCATACAGGTAACTCATCTTTTGCATGGCCGTGTACGCTGGGTGGTTGAGGTCCCCTCGGACTCTCACAGAAAATCTTATTGTCAGCTCGACTCTCCGTAACCAGAGTGGATAGACATTTGCCTCGGCAAGCAAAGCTGGAATGGGAGTGGTGCGGAACGCTCCCGTCGCGAGTCTGATAAACCTATTTTGAAGCGGTTCAAGTTTTCTCAGCATCCCTGCCGGTCCACCGTCGTATACCTGTGAGCCATAGTCTATCACTGGTCGTACGAGTGTTTTGTAAAGACGAAGCATAGTTTTCCTGTCTCCACCATGTGCTACCCCAGAAATGCACTGTAACAAGCTCTGTCGTTTAATAACCTTTGTTTTCACATGCTCAATATGTTGCTTCATGTTCATCCGGGAGTCGAAGACAATTCCTAGGAAGCGTGCATGGTCAACATAAGGGATATCAACACCT